GAAGGGAAAAAAACACAATTTTCGCTGTTGATGATCAATGGATAAAGATGATCTTCCATATTGCTTTTTTTCTGCAAAAGGATAAAGAGAGAGATAATGATTAAATGTATTATTTTCGAAAAAAATGGAAATTCTCCAGTTAGAGGAGATCGGGTTATCAAAGTTTTCTTTTTTACTGTTATCGAAATAGAATAATATTCAATGAGAGAGAAGAGAGAGAAAGAGAAAATTATGAAGATGAAGAGGCAAAGGAGAAAAGAGATATTATGATAAAAGATGAAGGATGAAGATAAAGGTTTGGTTTTCTACTTTGAGGGCTTAGTGTAGGAAGATGATGAAAAGAGAGTGGATGTTAGAAAGAGAGAGAGATGATGATGATGATGATCAGGATGATGAAGGGAGAGAGATATGGGAGAGAATTGAATGAACCACGCGACTAGAGTAACTGGAGCGATTTATTATACAAAGAATAAAGTTATTCCCTCTACGCCATTTCTTTTTTTTCTTCTTCTTCTAATAAGAAAAAGACGAAAGTGAAAAGCCAGAGAAGAGAATAGGTGGTTTGAAGAGAGAGAGAGAGAGAGAGGAGAGGGAGAGGGAGAAGATGATGAGAAAACAGTGGGAGAGATGATGATGAAAGAGAAGAGTCAATATGATGAGGGATGCGGCAAAAAAGAGAGATGAAGAAAGTAGAAAGATAAAGAAAGAGAGTAAAGGAAAAGAGGGTTTATAACCATGGACAGAGTGAGAAAAGAGAGAGAGATGATGATAAGGAAGAGAAGATAAAGATGAAAATGAAGGAGGAGAGAGAGAAATATCAATCCCGTTACCGATGATGTCGAACCTTCTCCCTGTTTGATAAATCGAAAAAGAAGAAGAGAAAAGTAACTCTCTTCTTCTAGAATTAAGCATATGATCTTGAGCAAAAAAGAGAAGAGAGAGAGAGTAAAGATGAATGAAAGATAAGGATGATAAGGATGATAAGAGGGCAGAGAAGAGAGAGAAAAAGAGGGAGAGAGAGAGTTTGTGTATCTTACAGTTCGAGGAAAAAAGATCGTTGAGCCCAGACAGAAAACAAATTTTTCTCTTTTACTGTTTTTCCAAATTCAATCTGTTGAGTCTCTTTTCCTTTTGCTTCCTCATCTCTTTCTCTCTCTCTCTCTTGATTTATCTCTCATTAAATTTTCTTATCCATATTAACTCTCATCATCTCCATCATCTTCATCATCAACAATTAACATCGATATTCCAACAATTTAGTTAATCATCATCAGTGATTTAATTTACCTTTACAAATTACTTGTGTAAATGAACTTTGTTGTTGGAGAAACTGAAAGACTCAACAATTAACCATTTTTTTTAAGTATCAAGTTTGCAAAATTTAACTTTGATTAACAGTTAATTGTGACCTATTAAATTGGATAACCTGCTAATCATAATCAACTGTAATTCAATATTAATGTAAGTAATTGCAATTTAAGTTCTGCTTAATTGTAGTTGTTTGTTTCATTCACTTTAGACTCAAATTACCTCAAGTGATTTCGTTTTTCACCTTTTACATCCTCATCATCTCTCATTTCATTTATGATCATCAATTAACTTGAAACAATTTAAATTTTATCAATCAAAGAGTTACATTGATAGTTTTTGTCTATTAATGAACCATTTTAATTGTAAATCTTACATCAACAATTAAAGGTTATCAATAAGTTGTTGCTTCATTTTTGGTAAAAACTTCTGGTTAATTGAGATGCTGCGGGTTCACTTGGATTAATATCTTATCAATGTTATGATTATGATTAAATTGAATTAATCATCTGTTGATATACACATTTTGACAATCATAAAATTGTCAACATGTTTAGCCTTAGGGGTTTGAGGATAAGACAAGGTGAAGATGATAATCTTATAAAACCCGCATCAATTTGGTGATGAAGATGAAGATGAAGATGAGCAACTTGATCAATTACTAGGTTCTTATTGGGATTTCAGAAGCTTGTTGATTTGGTTAATTGTTTTTCTTTGATCTTTTAGCACAATCAGTATGTTTAATTGTCTTTGTTCATCAATTGAAGTTCCATAATCAAAGTTTTCCATGAGATAAGTGATGCGGGAATTTGGATTAAGTATTTTGTATCTGATGTTTTTTTTTCTCTCACTCTTTTAGTTTCATTTCATTGTTCAGTTTAGCTCAGAATTCATCCTGTTTGTAAACCTTAGATTAGATTTCGATGGTGTAGAGAAAAAAAGTTCAATCGAAAGATGAAACAAAAGTTTTGTCCAAATTGTTAACAATTAAATTTCAACCTGAATGGTTCATTTAACATGATGATGACCAGAAGAGTGAATGAGATAATCATGGAAAGAAAAGATTCTGTGAATGAGTTTTTCTCGTTTTTTCTTCTTCAAGTCAAATGGACATCCGATAATCCAAGATGATGAAGAAAAATGTTCCAAAATTGTTCCATCATGAATAGGAAGAAGGAGGATGACAACAAGAAGATAATGATAATGATGAGAGAGAGAAAAGTGATTTGCAAATAGTGATAATGATGGAGATGATTGTTGATTTAAAAAAGGATGGACTTTGAGAGAGATGAAAAAAAGAATAGAAAATCCTAATGAATATTCATTGAAACATTTACTATTATTATATTTGTCCATAAGATTCATCATGTTAATCTTCATGATACTTAGATTCATTTCTTTCAATCTTGTGAATCATTTCAACTTTAAGGTAGAAAATGTCATCAACAAAAAGATGAGGAAATGAAAAAAAAAGATGAAGATACATAAATGATAATGTTAATGTTTTGTAAATATACAAAGTTTGTTACCTTTATTATCATCACCATGATAATCATTGAGTTTTCATCTCCCTTCATGATGACAACAATCAAAAGATGAAAACAGTCAATTTAACCTGATGATAATACGATTGTCCCTTCGTAATCTGTTTCATTCAAATTTAAATTGAGACTCATGTTTATCTTCATAATCCAAACAATATTAATATTAGTTTTTTTCTCATTCTTCTTATCATGTTAAGTTCATATTTCTGAAAGAATTACATGATAACCCAATAAGGAATAGAGAGAACAGATGAGAAAAGGTATTGTCATCTCTCTCTCTCTCTCTCTCTCTCTCTTATCATCTTGCCACAATTTTCTGCAATTTATCCTGTTAAGTGTTTGAACCTTGATTGTGATTAACAGATTCACGAATTATCATTCTCACCTTTTCTCTTAATCTTCTTCTCATTTCTAATTGTCTTTAATCAAGAGCCTCTTCAATAACAACGAGATTATCTTCATCATTCAGCGAGAGAGAGAGAGAGAGATTAGATTAAGAAAAAAAAGAAAACGATAATAATAGAAATGTATTTGCTTCTGTATTGATTCCCAATCAAAGACTAATTGTAACAGCAACAATTAAGAACGAGTTTAACAGTAATTAACACAATTCTACAAGCACATGAAGATAAACAATTTAATCCAAATACTTTTAATTAAAGTTGATTCTCTCTCTCTCCAATCACTTGATAGAGTTTGAGTTTATATCTAATGATAATATCAAGAGAAAATCTTAAATCCAATTGTTTATTACAATTAGTAGGATTTAATTGTTATTATTATTGTGTAATAATAACAATAAGATTACCACCCCTCTCATCATCAGGTATCCTCATCTTCAGTTATCATCATTATGATTTTCATCTAATTACTTTTGTCTTGATAAGAAGATGATGAAGAAAACAAAAAAAAAGGTTTTAATTGTTGTTACTTTTTTAATTGTTCTTTATTAATTGTAATTAACTTGTAATCAATTATCTTCAAGAGGCTTTGGGTGTCTTATTGTTTTAAAACAATTAATAAATTGTCTTCATCTTATTATAATAATAATAACATTACCTGGCATCACAATAGCTAATCAAACATCATTATCAACAATTAACTAATTAATTATCATCCCTTTTGTGTTTTCATTATTTATGATTAACTTTTTCATGTGTTTACAATTTTACTATTCATTGTAACTATTTAATTGTAACAATTAACTTTCTTAATTTGATCCCATGTAAAGTAAATTACAAATATTAATTGTTTCTTCATAATCAAGTTAATTAACTTGATTAACTATTAACTAAATTTGTTAATCTTGTGATTTAATCTGTTTTATTTACCTGTTGATTTATTGGATTATATAATTATCACCAAACCAACAATAATTAAGTAATTAGATTGTCAACTTTTTAATTGTATCAATCATCAGGTAAGCGTTTGTTACAATTAAATTAACTGTTATTTGTCTGACTAACTAATTGTTTGACTTTTAATCAATTAGTTATTGATTCTGTTTTCTGGTCCATTTATCAATCAGCAACAAACCTTTAGAGTTCACATTTGATTAGTTAATCTGGTTGTAGATATTGTCGCTTATTATTATTGGTAAATAAGTTGAATTGATCAACAAAATCAATTGATTACTAATTAAATATAAGTAATTATCATATTTGATTAGCAATTGGAAAGGAAAAAGGAAAAAGAATTGTTGATTTATCAGAATCGGAGAAAAACAAAACTTTTGTTCTTGGAAACTTGTTACATGTTAATCAGAAAAGGTAAAGGACCGAGAATCAGGTAGATGGGATAATCTCACATCCGAATCAGATTAGTGATGAAAAAGGAAACACAAACAGTAGAGATCAACTTTTTACCATAAAAAGTGAGGATGAAAAGTTGATTAAGATTAAGAAATAGATTAACAATCAAGTCTTCTAGTATTGTTTTTCTAATTCAAATCTAATTCTCTCATTATCTTTATCTGTCTCTCTTATTCCGTTACCAGGGGAGAAACTTTTCTCCTCTTTCTTTTCCTCTCACTTATCATCTCTTCTCCCTACCGCCACCTATTGATTCTACCATTGACTCTCCTTTCTCTCTTATCATCATCATCATCATTCTCATCATGATGAGAGAGACTCTTTCTATTTCCCATGCAGACCACAATTGTAACATCAACAGTAAACTTCCTAAAAAACAAGAATCCATTTCTACTTTTAAACAGAAAACACATTACACCTTTTTTTATATCTTCTTTTATCATCTTCTCTTTCTTTCACAATCTTCCCTCTTCCTCTTTCATCATCATCATCATCATCTTACTCTCCTTTCTCTCTCTCTCTCTGTCTCATCTCTCCCGCCCACAAAGTCCCGTTCACGAAGCGTGACAAGAAAAAAAATGTTACTGTTTATTTGAAATTATTTGCTGATCGCGTTTGGATTAACAGTTTTGTTTATTGCGATCGATTTCAAATCAATTGATTGTTGTTTTCCTTTTTCTTAATTGTGATTAATCATTTCATCTTAAATTTGTTCATCTCTCAATCATCAAAAGCTCAATAATATACACATGGAAATTATTGACATTACCAAACAACAATTAGTTAATTTCGGTGTGTCTCTTGTGCTCTCAATCAACGTACGTTTTGTTTTCCTCAGTTAATTTTAACTGTTAATTTGATCATCATCTTAATTTATCCTTCATCATATTGTAACAATTAGATTATTATTGTTCTCATATAGTGTTAATTTCATCATTAATTTAATTGCTTATCAACAAACAAGAAAACTAATAACAAGGTGAACAATTGAAGAGAAAGAGTAACAACGATTAGAAAAGAAAGAGACAAAGAAAGTGGAAAAAATTTCCTATTTTCATGGTGAAGATGAAGATAACGATGAAGATGAAGATGACGATGATGACGATGATGAAGAATTCAGATGAGTGAAGAAAAAAGAAAAGAAAAAGATGATTGGAGGAAACCACCTCCTTCTTTAATATTCCTCCTCCTCTTTCTTACTCTTTCTCTACATTTATCATCTTCTTACTTTCGTTATCATCATCATCTTCATCTTCAACTTGTTTACTATTGTAACGAATTTGAGCCTTCACCCTCTAAGGTGTGTCCTTAGGTGCTAAGATGGGCTGGGTTTATCTTCTTAAAGTTAAATAGTGCGCAAGAAGAAATTTCAACTATCATCCTCATCAGCATCATCTTCTCATCTTCTCATCTTCATCTCTTTCTTTTCTCTCTCTTTCCTATTTAGTTTTCACTCTTTCTCTTTTACTCTTATTAGTTAACTTGTTTTTCTAGTTTTGAGCAAGTACGAAGATGAGAAAGGGATGGAGGTAGAGAGAGAGAGAGAGAGAGAGAGAGATGACGTCTTCTTACTACACTTGCTCTCTTTCATCTTCCATCTTCACCACATCATCATCATCATCTTTTCTCATTCACTTTCTTGTCTTCTTATTATCCAATACGAAACAACTTCTTCTTCCTTCCCTATAACCATCAACATCTTATTAAGAACTTTTTTTTTTCTTATATACAAATATTTTCATCTCTTTTTCTTCATCATCTTATAGGATATTCATTCATCTTAATCCATCATCTTAATCTCAATGAATCAACAACATGACCCAATTGTTTTAAATTCATGATAAACAACAAATAATCACCACCATCATCATCAATAAAAGGTAAGCCTTTGATCATTTATGTTTAATTATCAATTATTCATCATTGATATTGATTTGAAATCCTTTGAATGTGATGATCAGTTTTTCATTTTTTTTTTCATTTTCCAATCAATTGAAATACAAATTATGTTAATCCCTCTCTGTGATTATCTTTCATTGATTTAACTGTCATTTTTTTTACTGTCTACATCACGTGGACTTATTTTAATATCAATCAAATTAATCGATTGATTTAATCAGTTATTTAATGAGAAAATTAATTAGGCGCCAAATTCAATATTCCACCCGTTGTATTAATAATTATCTTCTCTCTCTCTCTCTCTCTCTCCAATTACGAAATGTATTCACATTTTAATCACAATTAACATTATCTAATCTTGATAATGATGATAATTGTGATTTCATTGACATTTAATCACTAATCAAATATTTGAATTTGATGATTGTTATGAGAAGCAAAATCTTAACCTTGAATTTTCAAACTACTTAAACTTGATTAGGCAACAATTAACTGATTCATTCCCAACAATTACAAATTAAATGCTCTCATGAAACTGAATTAGCAATCCAGCTTATCACATGTATTTAACTTTGCATGAGGTAACAATTAAAGTTAATCACAGTGATTTCCTTTAATTAACATCATTTTCTTAATCTTATTTTCTTAGCCACAATTTCACTCTGAATTGAGCATAAATGTAGATATGAATATATAACAACCGGAAATATGATGAGGATTAAAAGTTAAACACTATTAAGTTGTTAACAGTTACTAATCAACAAACTAATCAACAATCAAATAAAAGGTAACAAAAAAAAATGATTGATAAGAAATTGAGAAAAAAAAAGTTGAGACTAAAGCCCAATGAAAATCGCCTTAGGTAAACCCAAAGGTAAACGATTCAGATGATTAACCTAAATAACTGGTTACAATCAACAATTAAATTTGATTACAATTAAAAAGTTTCTTTTTCTTTTGTTTTCATCTACTAATTAAAAGGCTGATGAACTTGATCTCTCTCTCTCCAGGTAAAGATGAGAAAAATGTTCAGACGCCAAGGTGAAAAATCTCATGGGTCATAATTCATCGTTAAAGATTTTATTATGAACGGTAAACGTTTCAAAAGATTTTCTTTTGTTTTAATGTTTCTGTAATTCCTTTTTGATTAGTCTGATAATTAATGATCCATGGTGATGATGATGATGATATTTTCATCTTCTCTTCATAATATCATCATGTTCAATTGAAGAAAATCCTGAACAATCATGTAAATATCTTAATGTGTTTATCTTATTTGTATTATTATTATTACTTTTTTTTTCCTTCTATTTTTCATCTCATGAAATTGATCTTGATTTTTTCCCCTGTTGATTCAAGGTAATTGAATTGAATTTTGAGCTTTTTATTGCTTATTATTATCTGGGAAAAGTTTTAGTTATCATTATATTGTGATAATTTATTGATTGTTATTAAAATAAACAGGATTTCATAATAGCAACAATAAACCAATGGTTATAATGATAATTTTTGAGCATTTCTAGTTTATGAAATTTAATATCAATCTAATGAAACAAAAATTGAGATGATGATTATAATTAAATCCATTATAATCATTAGATTTCCTTTAATTATTTTAATGTTTCCAAATTTATGCAAATTTACTTTATCAGCATTTCGCTGGTTTTTACCATGTAGTTATCTCCATGAATTGATTATTCTCATCACGATTAGCATTTAGGTTTCTTTTTGTTTTTAATTCTTATAATTTTCTGACCATAGACCGACACATAGATAGATGAGTTCTAATGGTGATGATGATGATTATTATTATTATTCCTCAGAAAAGTTAATTTGATATTATTTTAGTGAATTGGTTGATTCTGAGTTTTTTTTTCTTGAATTTCCAGTTGATATTAAATCTTATGGATTGAGAGTTGCAACTAATTTTGATTGATTGGTTGAAGTTTCCTGATTGTTTACATTGTCTTTGATTATTTTTGGATTGGAATTAGATTAGAGGATAAAGATTATGATTATTGTTTCTCTCTCATTAATTGTGAGTTGATTTCTTTTCATGGTTGATGTAATTGCTTCGCAGGTAATAACTAATTACCATGATTAGCAATTAGTCAAAAAGGTGATCAGTTATATACAATAACTGAATATACATCTCACTCTGTGTTCCTAAGTTAAATCAGTTCAGAGGAATAATAATATTCTGCTAAGTCATTTTCTTCTTTATTTTTCTTCTCTCTCATTTTCTTTCTACATCATCATCATCATCATAAGATGACTTAGATTATCATCTCTCTCTCTCTCTTTTCTACCTGTAAAAATGATTCCAGGTTAGAATGAATTTCTCCTTGTGTATATGTTGATATTTTCATCTTTAATTTTTTTGATTTATTTTTCTTCTCCATGATGATTATCATTATGATGATGATACTTTCATTGTACCGTTACAATTGATGATGTTTTTATTTCTGCTTTGTTTGGTGTATTTTAATTTGCAACTTGATTATTCCTGAATATGAACATATGAAAACCTTTTCTCTCCCTCTTTTTACCTGAATATAATTAGGTCATTGAATATCTAATAACATTAGACTCAGGCTCTTTTTTCAGGTTTTCCTCAACGATTCATAAAAATAACGGTAACACATTATGATGATAATTTAATACATTGATTATTATAATTGTTACCATTTCGTTGATGATGAAACTCTTTACCCTTTTCTTTTCAGTTGTGTTAATTGTTATCATTGAGAATTAGTTGTAATTATCACAATTGATTGGAAAGAAAATTAAAAACGTAGAATAGAAAATTTTTTACAAAATCAATTAATCGACAATTCAATCAATTAGATAATTTTCTCTCCATTAGAATAACGGTTTTTATCCTTGAGAAGAACAAGAGAGAGAGAGAGAGAGAGAGAGAGAAAAGAAATGATTTGGTTTTCTTTTTCTCTATTGTTTCAAATTCTGATTCATGTTTTCTTTTATTACGATTCTGCCCTTTTCTATTATATTTCTCCTCCTTCTCATGATGATAATTATGGAAAAAGATTGAGTTATCTTTCCAATGATAATAGTTATCATGTTAGTGAATAATCTTATTATTTATTAAGTGGAAATGAAAGAAAAGCTCAAAGGGCATCCAAGGGAAATTGAGAATTTATCTCTTGCATGATAAGTAACATTTTACCTTCGTAAATCAAGTGTGTCTCAGAGTAGAAGACTTTGTTTCATGTCTATCATGATGTTCACCTTGTTTGTTATACATAAATGATCAGAATCTTGAATAGAAAGAACAAAAGAAACTCAGGGTTATCATGATGTTGACATTTCGATGTTATTTTTTAGTTCTCCAGATCTTCTTACCTGTTGATCTTATGATTCTATTTTCTTTTCACCTTTTTTTTTGCTGGAAATTTGATTCGTTAAGGAGAGAGAGAGAGATAGATTATTCTGCTTTTCTTTTACATGGTAAAGATGCTATGTCATGATAACTCGGAAATTGGATAAGAAATTATTCTTGAGGTTATCTGAGGAATAATAATTTCCATCATCTCAAGAAATAGAAACTTTTGTTTTTTTTTTCTTCAAGCATCAAGGTTGATTACAGGTGATTCTATCACTTTGATTGAGTTTCTTTTTCTATTGTTATCAAAATGCTATCATGTTGTTGATGTTGTTCATTCATATTCAGTTGATTTTTCTATTTTTCTTTCTTTCTTTCAATAGAATAATGAAAACAGGAGCATGATGAGAAGGAAGATAAAGATGAATAAGGTGGTTAAATATCAGAAATTGAAATAAACTCGATTGATTGAAACGCCTACTGAGTAGTTGGGATAATAAAGAGAATAGAAAATTTCTCATGTTAACCTGAAACTTTCAAGTTCTACAACGATGATGATAATCATCTCTCTTTCTCTCTCTCTCTCTCTCTCTCACTCACTCACTTTCTCTTCTTTGTATTATGTTGATTTTGTCCTCAATTCATTAACGATAATGAAGATATGAAATTTATTAGAAATGAGAATAGAAAATTTTTACAAGGGAAAACCCGAAGGAGGAAGAAAGAAAATGGAATTGAGTTTATCATGAAAATAGAAGGAGATTTTCATGAATAATCAGTCATCTCATTTTCAATTGAATTTGATCTCAATTTTAGTGCTTTTTTATGATCATGTTAATTGTTGGAGAAAACAAAATGAAAAATTAACACAACAGGAGCTTAACTCAATCAATGTTGATAATTAATTGCTGATTATTATTTCATCTTCCTCATTGTTATTGTTACATAATCAATCTGATCAACTTACAGAAATTAAATCGTGATAATCAACAATAAGTTAACTTATTTGTTGTTGATTATCATTTATAAAAGAAAACACCTTAAATTGTTATGGAAATTAATTAGTTAATGTTAATTGTTTATCTCTCTCTCACTCTCTTTATTAATGTCTTTTGTTTTTCTCAATTGGTAGAGACCTTAATTGTTTTAACAATTGTTAAATTGTCAATTGTTATCAATCAATAAATTCATCTGTGGAAAAGTAATTAACCAAAACACTTACAATAAGTAATTTGATTCCTTAGATTGATTCAGTTGCTGTTTAATTGTTTGGGTGTTAATTTTTGACTTGATTAACTTTCTCTCCTTATCAATAACAATGACAATTTACTGCAGGTGAAACTTATTACTATTGATGATCAACAATTATCAATTTGATTGTTTCAAGACAATTAACTCAATTTGTGACAACTTAAGTAAATCATTCGCCTAAAGAAACCAGAAAAATATTATCAATTGTAATTGTAACTTAAATCAAGTGATAATTTGTGTTGATTGAATTGAAAAATTGTAACTGTAATTGTAAGTCTTGTGATGGAAATGAAATTGACCAATTGGAGTTGGTGGTCAGTTTGAGGTGTGAATTGGTGAGATAACTTTGTAAAGAGATTGACTTTTCAATTTTGCTCTGATTAATTTAAAGTTTATTTAGTTTCAACTTTGGTAATTTAATCCAAAGTTGTAACGATCAATTATAATCTTTTGAGGTTAATCAATATTAGACAATAATTGAGGAGACTGTAGCTGGGACTGAGGGAATGGAAGATGGAGCTAAGGTAGTGGTTGATGTTGGGGCTGAGGTGGAGGAAGATGGAGCTGAGGTTGAAGAAGATGGTGGGGCTGAGGTGGAAGAAGGAGCTAAGGTGGTGGTTGATGTTGGGGCAGCGGTGGAGGAAGATGGAGCCAAGGTAGTGGAAGAAGTTGGAGCTGCAGTGGTAGATGTTGGAGCTGGTGGAGGAACAGGTCGTGGTCTTGGTGGGAAGAACGGGAAGAAACCATGAACTGGAGGTGAAGGTGGTGGTGGTGGGAAAGGGAAGAAAGGAGGAATAAAGGAGGTAAACCAAAAGATGGAGGTGGTGGTGGAGGAGGGAAAGGTCGTCTGTGATGCTCTTCATGTCCATGATGATGTCCAGGGTGTCCATGAGGCCCATGAGGTCCGTGAGGTCCTTGGTGTTCATGATGAACTACAAATCCTTGTTGATTGGAACCGAAACCACCAAATGGTCTTTGATTACCGTTGAAACCACCGAATCCACTGAGTCCTCCAAATCCACCAAATTGCCGTTGATTTCATTGGAACCACCGAAATGTTGATGACTTTCAATTCTACCAAAAGAAGGTTGTTGTTGATGGAAATGATTAAAACCGTAAACAACAGTTACAGTTGCGAGAAAAACTAAACAAATTAAATTCATGATTACTTTCGATATCGAACTTAATCAATTTAATGTTAATTGATAATTAATCGATGTGATAAACATCTATTCCTTTATATCCAAATTGATCTCGCTGATTAAGTCGTGATCATATTTTCATTTGTCATTTGATTATAATTGACATTTCAATGATCACAATAAGTGACACTTTTTGTTTTTCATTGATCGATTTCACTGATAGTTTTCAATACTCATTTGAATGCATATGGTTGATAAATATTAACGTAATGAATTTTGTTATTCACTAATCACGATTAGAGGTTAAAGTTAATTAAAAGTGATTAAAGCTGAAAAAATTGATGACAGTTTGAAAGCTACGATTTATAATATGAAACAATAGACAATTGATAATGAGTGAAGTTGATTAACTGATTGTTTACCTGGTGCCAATCTTTTCTAGGTTTAAGTTTACTTGAACTGACCAGATAACCTGATGGTCAGTTTAAAGTGTAAAATAATAGGATGATTATGTGAATTGATTGTGAATTTTTAGACTTTTGCTCTGATTAATTTAAAGTTTATTTAGTTTCAACATTTGGCTAATTTAGTCTTAACAAAGAGTAAATTTTCAATCATCATCATCAGAATCGGAATCATCGGAATCATCATCTGAATCATCATCGGAATCATCTTTTCGGTTTTTAGATGGTCGCTTATTAGACTGAGGGGGCTTTCGACCAGGGTTGGGCCGAGGTCCAAGAGGGTAAAAGGGAGAGCCAACTGGATATGGATTAGGCTTGGATGTTGTAGATGTTGGTGTAGAGTCGGTAGATACTGGGGATGATTCTGAAGTTACTGAAGTTGGTGTTGTTGTTGTTGTTGTTGTTGTTGATGTTTCGGTTGAGTTGGTTGATACTGGTGTGGATTCTGAGGTTACTGGAGTTGGTGTTGTGGTTGTTGGGGTTGAATTGGTTGATTCTTGAGTAGTAAATGTTGGTGTTGAGTCGGTAGATTCTGGTTCTGGTTCAGGTTCAGGTTCGGAGTCCATTGAATCTGGTGTTGAAGCGTTAAATACTGGAGCTGCGTTGGTAGATACTGGAGCTGCAATTGTTGGGGCTGGGTGAAAAGAATTTCGAACTGAGCCGGTTGAGTTGGTAGATTCTGGTGTTTCAGGTGATGGTTTTGGAAGAGCTTGTGGCATCGGTTGGCCATAAGGGATGAAAACTTGAGATGGAGGTGGTTGTTGAAATAGAATAATGAAATTGGATAAAGGTGATGGAGGCAAAGGTCGTCGATCGTCTTCATCGTGTTCATCGTAATCATCATCGTGTCCATGATGATGATGATGATGTTCATCATTTTCGTGGTGATCGTCGTGTCCATGATGATGCTCATGGCCATGTTCACCATCAAAGCTACCAAACGATTCTCGGTCTTCATCGAAATCACCAAAATCTCGAACAGTTTCAATTCGAGTACGAACTCGATGTTGCTTTGGATGATGATGGTAACCGTAAGCAACAGTTACAGTCAAAAGAAAAGTTAAACAAATCAAATTCATGATTATTACTTTTGATATCGAATTGAATCAATTTATTGTTAATAATTTTCAATCAATTGATTCGTCTATTTATATTCAAAATGATCTCACTGAAAATGTCGTGATCATTTCTTGATTTGTCGTCTGATTGTAATTGACATTTAAGTTGTCACAATAATTGACAATTTTTCGCTGATCGATTTCATTGAGCGTTTTCAATATTCATTTAAATGCATATGTTTCAATAGATTCGCTATTGATAGATGCTATCAATCGCTTAATTTTATTATTTACCAATAACGATTAGAGGTTAAAAGTTAATTAAAAGTGATTAAAGCTGAAAAAATTGATGACAGTTTGAAAGCTACGATCTGAAACAATAGACAATTGGTAATGAGTAAAGTTGATTAAACGATTGTTTCTATTTTGTTTTTTTTTCTCATTTCTAATCACCGGAACTTTGATTTTCTTTGTTGATAATTTTATTAACAGTAAGAAATTAAATTTTCCATTGATTAACTTTCGATGAATCAACTAATTGGATACGGAAATAAACCGTTCTGGCTTCTGTTTTCTTCAACAATTATCATCCTGATCATTAATCCATCTTATCATCATCTTGTCTTCTTCTTAAGCATTTTAATTACAGGTAACAAAAAGTATTTATTTTCTTGGGCGGGAACGATAACTTAGCTTCCTGTAATTGGGAAGGTAAAAGTTTGTGCCGTTAAAACAGGTTATTAAGAAGATAATTAAGAAGAAGATGATGATGATGATGAAGATGAAGATGAAGATGATAACCTTTAGCACGTTGGCACGCGTCTCGAAGATTTGATCAAATCCGCCCTTATATTTGATAGTAAACAAGAAGTTATCATTACCTTGACTCGAACACGCAAATGGAAAGGTAACTTGTTGACCTTTTCCAGTTGACGTTTTTTCTTGTGTCCTTTACGACATTTGGTTAGTAACATTGTCTTAAGATGTTGAGTCTTTATTTTTTCCTTCATCTTTAATCATCCAATTAATTCATTAATTTATCGAATCATCTGTTCATCATCATCATCTTAACTGTACTTATATATAAATGTTGTATCCCTCGGGGCGTTTATTTAACCAGGAAATTGAATTATAAACAGATTTTTGTGCAATTTATTTAATGATCAATGTTCACAATTCTTAACGGTAATTGTTCAGATTCCGTTTACGATTAATTGTGAAAAAATCGCTCGATTTTTTTAGCGTTTTTTATGTAAAGTGAATAGTTTTTTTTGTATCTTTATGAATTAATATCAATGAGTGAAAGTGAGAGAGAGAGATATTTATGTACATCTAAGGAGAATCCCAGATGTTGATGAGTTTTTTTTTCTTCAATGACAAAGAAAAAAAATGTCAACGGTTTTGTCGCAAAAAAATATGAACGTAGAGCGAAATGTCTCAAGGTAATTGATTCGAGATTCTTAAAGATGATGAGCAACATCCTTGAGTCGAATAGGTTTTTAAATCTGTTTTCTTATTAAGCACCTTACATTATATTAACACCCACAACAAGAGATATTGAGGTCAACAGACTCGTGGCAAGGATGAAGATGAATTGTTCAAATAATGAAAGAAGAAGAGAGAAAAAAAAAGAATAGAACTTTTTTTCTTTCTCTCTTTCTTACCTCCCTCCTTCTCTTCTAACACAAAACACTCACTCAATGACAATGAGAAAAAACAGCTTTCACTAATAAACATTACAAATCGGTTGCCCTTAACAACGCGTGTTAACGCTGCACGCGCGTTTCGCGCGATATCATTAAGTGACATCTCTCTCTTTCTTTCTCTTAATGGAAGAAAAATATGCAAAGGAAGTAAGGTGAGCGAATTTCATTCATCTTAAGATTGGTACATATTATTATTGTTATTTTATATTGTCGAAAGATGGATAAGGATGATGATAAAGAGGAAAAGAAGAGAAAATTAAAGATTCTATTGTCATTTCTTTTACCTTCTTATGATATTTATATCCATATTTTTATTACTATTTCATCTCGCGTAACGCGTGTTGCGAGTAATTTTAGAGAGAGAGAGAGAGATGCTATTGACCTAATTTAATGTACAATGTCAGTGCCACTGACCCAGGTTAATATTGATTCTCATCTCAATTTATTTGCCTCTTTACGGTTACAATAAGTCACAATCTCCATCACCTGATAAAACTCCCGATTTTCTCTCTCTCTCTCTCGTCATCATCTTCTTTTCTATTGTTTGACTTATTCTTTTTCTGGCTCGTGCCAAAGATGATGCCAAGAATAAGAATAAGAGAATAGAATCTTTTTTATTATTATTATTATCGAGGTTACCTTATCTTCTTTATCATCCTCATCTTTGATGAAAACAAATCATCAGCCAAGCTTTACTTTTCTTTAATCCAAATGACAATAATTCATTACAATTGTCACTTAGAATTTAATTTACAAAACTTAATATAAACCTTGATAATATTGTGATAACTTTTTATTATATGTAACAAATCACAATTAAAAGTTGATTACCTGTCGTGAATTGTTTACAATTTACTTTCTCTTTTTTATTGTTGATTCGAAATCTTTTTCCCCCCTTTGCTCAAAGTAACTTGATTACTATCAGAACTTCAATCATTAATGAATCTACGTGTGTTCATTTAATCAACTGATTAATTAACTCATAAAAGAATAGAAAAAAACTTGTTGCATTAATTGAAGATGTTGACATGTTTCTCCTTCATCATCACCGCATCAATTTTTCTCCCTCTTTCCATCTTTGTGGTGGAAGAAAAAAAAAGAGGTTAAATGCTAACCATCTGATGTAGTGTCACCCTCGCCATCTTCCCCTCCCCCTTGCGAAGAAAAATTCTATTCTAAAATGTCGTTTCTCTTCCTTGACCCAATCTCTCTCAATGTAAGAAACTTTTCGACGATTGTTTCTCCACAGCCTCCCACCTTTATCTTCATCTTCATCATCCTTCTCCTCCACACATACACACTTATTCTCCCCCATCTCTCTCTCTCTCTCTCTCCATTGTAAATTCAATGATATCCGTTTTACTTGAATTCTTTTTCCCCACTTTGCATCTCCTCTTCTCTCTCTCTTTTATCATCATTTCTCCCCTTCTCATCTTCATCTTCCTTTTTGGACTTGGTCCTTTTCTTATAAACACTCTGTTAGTCTAAAAGATGATTCCATTCGAGTAACATCAATGATGTGTAATTTTTTTTTCTTCACAAGTTTGTTTTTTTTTCTTAATCAACTAATTGTTGTTTACATTTTCTCATTTATTTATTTCATCATCAGTTTCTAATCCATGGAAATAACTTTACATCTTATCCCAAAACTAAAGGTACTTCCTGTTTATACAAACCTTATCATCACCAACTATTACAACTACTACAACAACAACAATAACAATTAACCGGTGAGTGAAACTTTCCCATTGCTAATTGTTCAATTAATGAATGAAAACTTTTTGTTTACAATCATTTGTTAAACTTCATCTCTCTCTCTCTCTTTTTTTTTACTTGTTCATCCGATTTTCAAACGGATTAAATTGAATTTTGTTTCTCTCTCAAACTGTATGAACGATAAGATGATTGAATAATATTCAGTGATGATAATTGTGGTGATGAACAAGATGACATGTGGTTGAATGTTAAGGTTGTCACTCTCTCATCTTTATTTCCTTTACTTGGATTATCTTCCCAAATCCTCATGACATATTCTCATCATCATCATCTTCCTTCCTCTCTTTTTCCATTTCTCTTTCATCATCATCATCATTCAATTGAAACCACATTCGAAATTCATCATCATCATCATCCTCTCTCTCTCTCATCTTTTCGCATCATCATCCGTCTTGTATTCTATTCTAAAAAAGGTGTTTCTCTCTTAATCTCTATCAAACAACCTTTTTTTTAATGTTCTTTTCTGTTTTCATTAGTTAATTCTTGCTCTCTAATTAATTAGCTCTAACAAATGTTCAACTTAACATTAGTTTTAATTGTTTCTCCAACTATTGTAACCCCAATCCCCAGGATCATCATGATTATCAGTTTATCCTTGAGGTAAGAAACTTAATCTACCTCTTAATCCGTTTCCATTTAACACCAAACAGAAAGATAATCAATCATCAATAAGATTAATTATTGATTATCACCAAGGTGTTACTGCGACTAATTCAATAGACAAATTAACTATTAGTTGTGACACTTTTCCGTTTTAACCGTTACTTTTGTTTATCAATCAATAACCAGTAAACTGTTAATTAAGATGATAAGAGGATGGGAAAAGATGATAAATTGATGAGGGAAAGAAGAGAAAAATTTTCAGATAAAAAACTGTATCAATTTACCTTTTTTTTGTTCGAAGGCGTAATTTGTGTTAGTTCATTTGTTTGTTTTCCATTGACATAAAATTAAAGCTCTAAAAAAAGGTTATACTTGTTGATTGTAACAGTTAAGGTTGATTAGATTACCTTGTTACAATTAATTTCCGAGTAAATTTTGTCAACCATTTGATGATTTTCAGTTGATTGAAGTTTTTAAAGGTTTCCAAAGAGTTTTCGACCTAAAGATGAGGATGAAGAAGAAGATGATGATGAGGATGATTTTCTTAGCATTAGAACAAAAAAAACAATAACAACACCCTTAGCATCGTGGGAATTGTTGATGGGGAAAAGTTAAGGTCAGTTACCGTTTTTATTGTCATTATCTCGCTCTATGATTCTACTAGATAGTCTCGTGGACTCATTTTTCCGTTCCCGTTGTCGTTCTTGGGGTTGGGTCTCTCATAAGGTTTTAACTAATATCATTTTCTTTATAATAAGATAGTTGGAGCGTGTTAGTCACCAACGGAACTGTTACTTACCTTTATCTTTTTCCTGTCGATCTCTTATTTCGTTAATTTCTTGCCTCTCTCACTCACTCTTTTTCTCTTCGTCATTATCTCTCTGCATCCTCATTACCATCGTCATCATCCTCCTACTTTTTTTCTCGTCAGAGGGAGAGAGAGAGAGAGAAAGGGAGAGACTTTATCATCCTTCTCACTCCCTAATTTTCTCACTCTTATTGTTTTCTTGAGACACTTCCGATTGGCTTTGTTATCACTTTTACGATGAACAATAACAAACTATTGATATGATTACTCCTTTTGTATTTAATTCTGTCCTTTACAATTACCTTGATGAGGAAAAAGGGGAAGAAAAGTATCATTTCTATTTCCGGTCTCGTCATTATTATTACTAATTTTTTTTTCATATTCTTTTCTATTCTTGGAATATCTTTCTAAGTAAACAAAGATAATAATGATGATGATGATGTGAGAATCATGATATTAGCTTGTTAGAGATATAAACGGGAGTTGGTCACCTTTTGTTTATACATGTTTGACCTTCCCTATTTAAGGTTAGGTTACCTTTTCATTAGGATGACATTTTATGTATACAGGGTGTTTTCTGGTCCCAATTACATTATCATTATTTATCTTAAATTAGGGTAACTTTTATTGTATTGATCTTGTTTTATTTTTTCATCTCTCTCTCTCTCTCTCTCTCTCTCTCTCTCTCTCTCTCGCTCACTCTCTGTATCCTTTTTGATATAATGAGATGAATCTAATTCTGTTACATGATTTCTCATCTAATATACATTCACAATTTGATTATCATTTGAGAATCAACAGTTTTTTTATTACACATAATAGAATCAAAATAATCTTCATCTTTATCCTCAAGCATATTAATCATCATCTTTTCGAGATGTAAAAAGTTAATTACAACAATCAACAAGAAGAAGAGAACAGAATTTACTTTTTACCTTCTCTCTCTCTCTCTCTCTCTCTCTCTCTCTCTCTCTCTCTCTCTCTCTCTCTCTCTCTCTCACTCTTTGCATCATCTTCATCTTTGTGGTAATCAAGTTGATTAAATGATGAGTGAGCAATTTAATCGTTAATCAAGGGTTTAATTACTTTTTTGCTCAACCTCTTTCACTATCTGATGAAACTTTTAAGTAAATCACAAAAAAATAAAGAGAGTGAGAGAGAGAGAGAGAGAGAGAGAGAGAAGCTGAATGTACATTGAATGAAAAGATGAGGATGGAGATGAGAATGAGGATGCAAATATTGACTCAATGAGAGTGAAGTTTTTTATTTCTAACTTTACATCAAACAAAAACTCATCATTATCCTCATCATCATCTTTATAACTCATCATCACTTCATCAACATGAGTTTCCTTTTGTTTCAATATCTTAAGTATTTACTATGTATAAAAAAGGGTCTCACTCTCTCTCATCTTCATCAAAGTTGATGTTTTAATTAAGTCACGTGACATAGTAAACATCATCATCATCATCTTGTTGATTACTTAAAAAACAGCTAAAAACTCAGTAACTGTCAATTTCACTTTCATCTCTCTCTCTCTCTTTTATCATCTTCTTAATAGGAGGATGATGATGTTTATCATTCACATCATCATCTTTGATGGTCTGTTTCAATTCAATTCAAGCATATCACTTACCCGTGCCCATCTTTATCCTTCATCATCCACAAAAACCATTACATTTATCAGAGAGAAAAACAAAACAAAACAAACTTTCATTTTCTCATCTTCCATCTTCTTTTAATCCATCAAACCCATTCATCTTCATCATCCCACCTTTACGCTCTCACTAACTCACTAACTCACTCATTCGCTTTCTCTCTCTCTCTCTCTCGCTCACCTTTATCTTCACTTTTCCCTCCCACTGTCTGTAACCTTGACTTGAGACAAACATCAGAAAACAATGTTATCCATGGGACCTTTTTACTCGGTTCGTGTAACATGTTGATGATGATGATGAATTAAAAGGGATGATATTAAATTGAGAACCGTTAACATTTTGTGACCATAAGATGGAAGATAAAACAAGATGATGAAGAGACAATAATAGTAGAGGATTTAGAAGAAGGAGGATGATAAAGGTCAACATTATATTCTCATCATTATTGCATCTTCTTCTTCTTCTTCTTCATATTCTTTTACTTTTATCTCTCTCCCTCTCTCATTCGAACCATTTGAGAGATGAGATCGTGGGCAAGGTTTAATTATATTATATTTCTAATAACAATCGATTCGGTTGGCTTAATTCTCGAAGGTAATAACAAGAATTTTAGTCTTTAGTCCATTTGGTTAATCATCTTTTATCACCATTCGACTTGATAATCTAACTGATCATTAGTTTTTTTGGACAATTGTTAAGTTTTAATTCGTTTAGCATTCTCATCACATCTCAACACCATTTAGATAGAAAATTATTCTCATCCAAATTTAGCTTCTCCTTATTGAATTTTCATTTCGACTTCTTCATGGATTCGGGAGAGAAAAGTAAAATCTTCATTAGAATTTATATCATATTGTTGATCTGCATCTGCAAAGATGCAAAGATGATGATAATTTCTCTTTCTAAGGTTTTTTAACCTCATCGATGATTAGGGTGAGTTACATAAGAATGAGATGAAAACGGGAAACCCAAGCCCTCATCAATTTCATGTCTCTCTCTCTCTTTGCTCGTTCTTTTCAGGTCAAGTTTTTCCGTTGCAAATGCTGGTATAAAAGTGAGAGAGAGAAAAAAGAAAGTGCGTTAGCTAGAAAAAAAAATAGTTCTAATGGTAAATAATAGTAACAATGAGAGGAAAAGTTTGAGCTTTGTTAAGAAAGAGACGCGTGGTTACATTGATAGAGAAGAGAGAGTAGAATGATGATAACTTTCTTTTCTTCTTCTTCCTTTTCATCGTCATCTTTTCCTTACTTTCTCTTTTCTTCTTTATCATCTTCAGCTCACTTTCGCCCATTAACAAAACTCTAGTCGCGTGGAGTCTTAACGGCTGTTGATAACAATGATGATGAGGCCTTGAGGTTAAAGAACGTTGTTTTCGCATCTTAATATCAAGTGTGCATAAGAAACAGAAGTTGCATCTCCCTCTCCCTCTCTCTCTCTACCTTGGAAGAGAGATGATGAGGATGATATGCATTTGTAGAAGAAAAAATTATTTTTTCAAAGGAAGAAGAAGAAGAAAAAAAGATGAAGATGATGATGAAAAAATAGAGAAAAAAGTGAACTTTTTTATCTACGAATACACATAAGAGTATCTTACAAGGTCAGGCCTTCGCTCTCTCTCTCACTCACTCACTTTTAACTATCTAACGGAAACGGGAGTCGAAAATAAACATTTCAATTCTACTTCCGTTTGAGAAGATCTTTCAACACAGGAATTGAAGTAACCAAATGATCTGGAATCTTTTCATTAAATTCATTGAAACAATTGTTCATCTTTTGGAAAAAAAATCTAGAATTGAGAATCAATATTATCTAAACTTGCGATTTACCAATTTACATGAGATTAAAAGCGGAAATTTGCCTTGAACCTAATGAACTTTCTCGGGGA